AATTTATGGTTAAATTTAACAAATGCATTTTCAAGTCTTGGACCAATGAACAGTTTGAAAAAAGATGGTGGAAAATGGTTGAGAGATTCAATTTAAGAGATGATGTATGGTTCCAATCTTTGTATGAAGATCGTGAACAATGGATGCCAGCATATATGAGAGACATTTTCCTGGCAGGGATGTCTACAACCCAGAGGTCAGAAAGTATAAATTCTTTCTTCGACAAATACATGCAGAGGAAAACTACATTGAAAGACTTTTTAGAACAATACAAAACAATCCTTCGAGAGAAGTATGAAGAGGAAGTAAAAGCTGATTTTGAAACATGGCATAAACAACCAGCATTGAGGTCTCCATCACCTTTTGGTAAACAAATGGCAACTATGTATACTCATGCAATATTTAAGAAATTCCAAGTTGAAGTTTTGGGAGTAGTTGCTTGTCACCCAAAGAAAGAAACTGAAGACGGAGCAATCAAAACTTTCAGAGTTCAAGATTTTGAAGAGGATCAAGATTTCATTGTGGTGTGGAATGAAATGACATCAGATATATCCTGCTTATGCCATTCGTTCGAGTTCAATGGCTTTCTTTGTAGACATGTGATGATTGTACTGCAAATGTCTGGTGTACACAGTATTCCATCTCAGTATATATTTAAGCGTTGGACAAAAGATGCAAAGAATAGGCAAACACTGAGAGAAGGGTCTGCTGCTGTTGACTGTAGAGTAAAACGTTACAATGATCTATGCGATCGAGCCTTTAAATTGAGTGATGAAGGTTCTTTATCCCAAGAAAGTTACAATATTGCATTTAATGCGTTGGAAGAAGCTCTGAGAAGTTGTGAGAGTATAAATAACTCAATCCAGAGTGTAATAGAACCAATCTCAGCAGAGACTCATGGCTCTGAAGGAGTAAACCAAGGTAACAGCAAAAACAAGACAAACAAAAAAAATGGTGCATCCAAGAAAGGACAGGTTAGTTGAGTTTGTGGTGATTATTATGCTTATATTCCTGGTTCTTTTTAGAAATTTTTTAATGGGCATTTAGTTCGGTATGTTTTTTGATATCTTTTAGGTACAGTCAGAGCCAGAGGTCATGACCATTGGGGTGCAGGAAAGCTGGCAACAAGTGGTTAGTCATATTATGTTATTGTTGAAACCTACACTACACATTCTAAAGCACATACTACAATTGGAAAATATGAAAAGAATTTCTTGATGTGGGTTCCGCATTTGTTGTTGGGCACTTAATTTATGACCACCCCGTTAATTGTTCTTATAAATCGCAATAGAGCATACAAGGGATGGTATGATATAGTTTTGTGGCAACCATAATGTTTTGAAAAGGAAAACATTGTTGCTTACTCGTAATGTTGTTTATTCACAATTCACAATTTCCTGAAATTTTGGAGTTACTTGTGTGTTTGTTGTAGGAACAACTTGTCTCAAGAGCTCCAACCCTTGATGGTTATTTTGGCAGTCAACAAATTGTTCAAGGAACTGTAAGATATTTTTCTCATTACAAAAATACAATTTTGGAATTCTGTTGAAGGACTTGGACGACATTTATCGTATGCTTATTAAAGTTGATTTGACCTGTCCCTTAAATCTTCTTGTAGGGGCAGCCAAGCACCATAGCCTCTAGCCGTGATCATTATTATAGCAATCAGCATATGCAAGGGCTGGTAGTGCATATGTCATATTTGGCTAATTTTTTGGGATATTTTCATTTAGTGTTGATTATAACTTTCTAATTATTTATCAAATGTGTAGTACAACTTCTTAACTGGAGCCTTTGTTTTTGCCACAGGGGCAACTAAACTCAATAGCTCCCATCCATGATGCTCATTACATAACTCAGCAAAGATTGCATGGGGTGGTACAAAATTCTGTTGTTTTTCAATCTGACTTTGTGGAATTATTATTTGTTTTTATCAATAAAGAAAGGAGAGTCCATTCTCTTGGGGTACTTTTGTCTTATAGACATGCTCCAAGGGTTCCTTTGAGTTTGAGGGTTGATATAATCTGTTCCTGTTAGTGCTATTGCTGTTTATATGTCTTGGTATAGTAAATCATATCATGTTGCTTGCTTGTAGGGGCAGTTGCATTTCAGACCCCAATCTATTCCGAGTTGTTTTGACATTCCGGATGGTTTGCAAGATACCGTAAGAAAATTCTTACCTAGATTTTCTGGCTTTTTGCTTGGCATGATTATGTACGTATTGAGTTTGCACTCTTGTTCTAGGACCAGTCTACTGTGGGACCCACACAGCTGCACGGCTTGGTATCAAGACATTTGCATTCGAAAGACCTCTCTCGTCAATAGCAATGCATTTCCAAAAGTGAGTTATAAGGGATTTTTGCTGCCTATTTTCTGTAGGGAAATTCCCCAACGTCTTGGAAACCAACCTCGCCACACTATTTCTTTGTTTTGGGGTGCCAAGAACATGCTTCTTCTCGTGCCCTTGTTTTTATCTTCATATTTCTTATTTTCCAGAACTGTAAAATTTTAACGTAACAATTTGTTATTTCACAGGTGGAGAGTCTGGAGATGAAATATATATATACACACATCAACAGGAGAATTCAAATAGACGGAATCCGTGTCCTTTTTAGTTTGGCGAATAGGGAGATATACACAGATCTTGATCATAAAGACGGAATATATTTGGTACTTGTCCCAGGATCCCGAGCTACTTCCGAAATCCAAGAATTAATATCATCCGGTTCTCTTTTTAGCCTACACCTAATTTGTAAAGGGGCTTGGCTCGTTTGTGTCAAATACACACAATTTTAGTTGATTCAAATTCCAAAGTTCTACTAATTAGCCAAGTAAATAGTTATCTCATTCTTATCACTTGGAGCTTTCCACCCCTTAGCATTAGAAGTGCAAGAAGGCTACCCCTCTCAACTTATTTTTACAAGGACCTGCTCTGTACAGAATTACAACATACTGTAGATATGACATCAAACATGCTCAAAAACTTCCCCCTTCAATTATGGAAAGCCTTCTACATCGATGGGCCATTCTTAATCAAAATCTCACCTTTACCAGCTATCAATACAAAAAGAAATCAATCATCAGAAAATATCTCAACTTCAAAACAATTGGAGAAAATCTGAGATGCGTTTTATATGGTTTGCTAAAATTTCAAGAAAAGCTGGTGACCTGGTGTTCCGCAAGAAACATCAACTAATCTCACAACCTCTCAAAGTGGAGTACATATGCATCGTCGTAATGATTTCATTCAAGAACAACTTTTGCGCCAAGAGCTTTGAGCTTCTCTATTAGTTGCTCTCCTTCTTCCTTTGATAATCCTTTCTTTAGCACAGATGGTGCCTTCTCCACTAAATCCTTTGCTTCCTTGAGGCCTAAGTCAGTGAAGCTCCTTACCTCCTTGATCAGTTTTATTTTAGAAGCTGCCTCAAATGACTCCAATTTCAATTCAAAGACAGTCTTTTCTGGTTTCTTCTCCTCCTTAGCTGCTGCTGGTCCCTTCATTGCCAATCCTAATGCAGCAGCTCCTGGCTTCATGACTCCTACAATTGGTGGTTCCTTCATTCCCTTTTTTCTCATCATAATGCAACCCAGCTCAGCAACTTCGGCCAGTGTGAGTGATGATATTTCATCTACGAGCCTAAAAACACGATCAGTTGGAGGACTGCGATGCTCTGTTGGATCAAATGTTGCTGGATCGTAATCAGCAGGTAGTCTCCTTTGGTCAATCTCCACTTCTTCCTCCTCTTCCTCTTCTTTCCTTGCAGGTTGACTAAAGTTTTGACAAAACCCATTTAAGCTACCAGGATTCAGTGCTGCGAGGGGAGAAATAAAGGGTCTTCTGCAAAACCCATTAGGCAAATGCTGCCTTAATCTAAAGACCAAGCTCATTTTTTCAAGGTTGCCACAAGAGTCCGTTCTCTAACAAGTGGGAATCGACCTATGAGGAACACATTTCGCCACTCACTTTAGCAATTATCTGAGGCTGGAATCCACACAGAACCTGTTTGATGCATTTGTTATAGTTAATTCGTAGGCATTTTAGTGCTAAACGATTGAAGTTTGACAGAATAGAAGAGTGGATATCTAAAAAATAAAACAAACAGATTACTACGTTAACAAAAAGAAAGCTTGACTAAATACACTCTTTGTAATAAATAAATAAAATTAGCATTCCTCAACTATCAGTTCGTTTCCTATCAAAATACATTATCTCGATCTCAAGTTAAGTAAATTTCTATCATTCCTCGACCATCAAATCATTTTATATTTATATCAAAAGAAATTATCAATCTCAAGTGAAGATGTCTTCAACATACATCTTCACATTAAAATTGAAGAAAAAAAATGTTTGGTTTCTGACTTCTGAGAGTAGGGGGCGAAATTTTGAACCCCAGAATCCCGTCATTTGGATTCTGAGATAGAAAACGCTTCAGCTTTGTGTTTTTCTGGTATCTTTTAATAACAAGATTGAGACTTTGTCTTCAACTAAGCCTCGTCTTCAGCAATCAAAAACAGAATAGATAGGAAGCAAGGGATCATTTGAAGTTTCGGTTGAAATTTTCTGAGCAATCAAACAGAAGGTAAAGAAAACTAATAAACAAAGAAGAGCCCACTTTCGGAGCTCGATGTAAACTCCATTAAAAATAGACACTTTGATATTAAAACACAAACGCTACCATTTCTGATTCACACGTCCAAAATCAAACATTATAGATTGTAGATAACATAAAATATATACACGGAGAAAGAGAGAGAGAGAGGGAGAGAGAGTACCTTGGAGAAGACGAGTATGAGTTCTGAGCTGGTGATAGCAGAGTTAGAACCCTAGAGACTGGAGCGACTGAGGAAGAGGGGGCTTTGTTTTGGGTTTTTTAAAAGAAAAAAAAATCCTAAAAATAACGAGGAAAAAAAGTTTGAACCCGGATAAAGATAACGGGTTTAAACTTTAAACCGATACGTCGGACCCGACCCAATTTTTTGACACGTGCTCCCCATTTGACCTCGCTTGTATACACTATACAGCTCTAGAGAGAGAGACAGAGAGAGAGAGGAGAGATGGAAAAACAGGGAAGGGTGGTGGTTGATAAAGTGGGAGGAAGGTCAAGAGTGACAAGATGCTTCTCAAAGTATCCTCTCAAGTTTATAATTCCCAGAAAGGTCTCATTTTTGGCTTTGTTCATATTTTCTCTTTTGGCAATCTTAGCTCACATATCATATCATATGGACATATGGGTACCTGTGTTTTGATGACAATAATATGAATTGATCAGTTTGGGATGCTAATTATGATTTTTCCTCAGGTGGGTTCCTCTGAAACTGATGCTGTTTGGGTTTACAACCTCACCTATGGTGGTGGCATTGTCTCTGTATGTGCTCTCCTTGTCTTTTTCTTTTTCCCTCTTCCCATCTATTGCGTATATTTTTGCTTTGTTCATGATTGTTTATTTGCTTGTTGTGGGTTGTAATCTGTTTTTTTTTTTGGGGGGGGTTAATTTATTTAACTTTGTTCTATTGTTTAGGGAGATTCTATTTCATGTGAATTTACCATTGGAGATGGTTGCACCACTGTCTTAACAACCCAAGCTTCCACTAAGGTTACTTACAGAAAATATATTTCATTCTCAGATTTAATAATATTCCCTTTTTCCCATTAGATGGTTTGGAGAATTGGCTTCATTGAAATGCCTTGTGTCTAGATTTCTTAAGGCAATTTATGTTCTTGCATAGGTCTACAAGTCTGTGGGATCAAAGTGCTGTGAGCAAGTCTTGGAGGTAACAATCTGGCCTAACCAAACATAGAGAAATTTAATGCCGCACATTTTCGGGACGTTATCAATATACAGTTATTCTAAATATGTGTTCTGATTAGTTAATGCTTCTGTCAATGGCTACATTACCTGTGAATCTTGGAAATCACATTTCTATGCAGTAGGCAAGAATTGGGAGCGATGCCCTCTTGGCTGTCATTCCAGATCCGGTGACATGTTTCTCCACAGCAAGGTACTCTCAGAAACAAGTCTTTAGGGTAGCCTCTAACTCAAGTTTGGTCATTGTTGATTGGATTACCAGTGGGCGTCATGAAAGTGGAGAAAAATGGGATTTTGATCTTTATAAGAGTGCCAACCACATATTTATAGAAGATGATGAGCCTTTGTTTCTTGACATGGTAATCATTTTCTTTTTATTTCATTTTGTATTTGTTGCCATCTAAAGAGGCGAATGCTTAGTTCTTAGTGGTGGTACTTCTACCACTAAGTTTTTTTTTTCACCAGAGGGAATTTGGTAACTGCTTGACTATATCCCATTGACATGATATAACTCTCTCTCTCTCTCTCTCTCTATACATATATACATATATGTATGTATTTCCTGTTCCATCTTTATTAGAAACAAACTTTATTTTTATGCTTGCACTAAAATTCTGTGAAATGAGCTTGCATGTCAAAATCCTATTGTCTTCCCTTGCTCTTCTACTCAGACGGTTCAGTGTTACAGGTGCACCTGGAGCGTGGAAGTATTTCTTCAATTGCAGAACGCATGCAAGACTACCAAGTCATTGCAATGGTTGTACTCTTGGGGTGAGTACTTCATTATGCATAGATCCTTTGCATCTTCTCGTCTACCGTTATTGAATTTAATCACTGACATTCATTACTTTACTTGTTAGGATGTACAGAATTAACTAAATAAATCAATGTTACACTTGTGGCTGCTTCATTGTAGGCCAAGGATCAAGCACATTCAAAACCTAGTTCAAGAAAACGTGAAGAGGATGATGGCTGAGCAATTACACATTCCTTCCACTGCCTCTGGTCGCCAATTAAAACCAAATTCTGATAATCGCTTCACCAAACCAAGCTTTATTGCTTCTTCAAGTGTTTTTGGTTCTAAGGTATATTGGTCAGGTCATGCTGCTAAGCACCTGTTAATGTTCTGTTGTTAAACCAATGCTTGCCAAATGTTCTTTTTCCCTGAATGAGAGCTGTGGAAGCTGTTAATAAACTAATTTTGCAAGTAGTAATGACTTTTCCATTAAATCATTAAACCTTCCTGTCAATACCACTGACCACCTCAGTAACTTGTGAAATCCCCTTTACGAGCTCTGTTTCCTGTTAACCTCTAATTGCATGTATAAGCTTGATCAATCTTAATCACAATCTCTACTTGTATTAATTCATATGAAGGTAGATTTGATATGTGATTTTGATTGATGAAATTTGACTTCTACATTTCATTTTTCCTCAATATGTCTAATCATTATTATTGCATGGCACGACTCATTATTAACGCACGCCAACGGTTCTTTATGTCTTCAGGGAATAGGGGTGGTTGTTCGTATAGCTGCCACAACAACTGAATCAGTTTACGAGTTCCTGCAGCATCAATTGGCGGGCTTGGAGCCGCTACTTGGGGTATCACCATATCATTGAACCTGCATGGAGAATGTTTATTCTAATGATAGAAACTGATACTATGGCCTAAGCTGTGGATTTATTGTAAGTGCATGATGTCTTCCATTCCAAAAGTGCTTTGCATAATTAGTTACAGTCATTGTTGGCTGATGTATTTGATATATGTTCTAACTATAGTCATTATCTCAAGTTATTGGCCCGTTTTTCCTTAATGCTCGGTGTCATTCGTGTTACTTCTCAGGTTCCCACACTACAGCCCTATGTGACTTCTCATTTTCTCTTGCAATTTGTGGAACTTTTCTGCCTGGAGCCTGAAACCCCTTCTTGCTTTTTTTATTCTTTTTCCTTCTGTGGTTGCAATGGAGCATTGTGGTTTGTGTTTGTCATGTGACTGGCATGCTCTCTGATATGCTTGTATTAGCTGAAAACTTATTTTACTACTTTGAGTGGCACAAACAAAATAAAGATTTAATGTTTTGTATATAATCACACTGACAGTAGCTTTCAAGTGAGGTCAGTATTTAAGTTAATTTCACCATTTCCTTGGTCCTCATAAAATCCTTTTTTTCTATCTTCATCCCTCATTCTCCTACATAGGTTCCCTTTCGTCTATAACAAAATTGTAAAAACTAAAAATCTAAAATGAAAATATTAATAGCCATGCCCTTAGTTTTCATCTTTTTGGATATACTGTATTATTATTTGTAGTCGCACACCCGGTACAGAAATAAGAATCGAAGTATGTCATTGTGATGAACAGTTCAACCATGGTTTTGACAAACTTCCAACACAAGTTTAAAATCTGATACGAGGTTGATTTACGACTTTTTTTTTTGTTATTTTGATTGAAAGCTCAAGAAACAGAGCTGAAAACAAATAACACTCACAAAAGAGGGAGGAGAACCATCAATGGGGCTCATAATTAATCAAGGAGGACAATAATAGCCAAAGAAGAAAATTGCAAAACATATATTGATAGAATTGGATCATGACCAAATTATCCCAAGACCTTCATTTTATATTTATACAACGCAAATCACCCACTAAACTTATCACAACACCTCAAAGAGAAAGAGGGACCTAACTCACTCTAGTTTCAGGTAAAATACAGCCGCACAAATTAAGAAAAAATAAAATAAAATAAAAAAAGAAACGATTCTTTCAACTCATTAGAATGTAATCTCACAAGGGGCATGGAAGGTTCTTCCGCGGCATATAGCTTCTAGGTTTTCTCCGACATAAGAACAAAGAGGTGACACCTCTACACCTGAGAATTTGATCAACATCAATTGTGTCAGAGAACTAAGAATTACATTAAGGGCACAGAGACTAGAAATGGGCTAAAAAGATAAATGCAGGAAAACGAACGTTTTATTCTTCTAAATATTTTCATTCACATGGCACAACTGTTTGCTTTTCACATGTTTAAAAAAAAAATAGAGATATGAACTTCACCACTACTATTTTAATCTCGATGTTTATGATCCATATTCAGGAGAAATTCTTGGGTGAGGCTGCCCTATTGGGCTGCTCTCTGACAATGTTGTGGGGACTGCATGTGGGACCTGCATCGAGGCTCCACACCATTGTCAGAGAGCTACCAAGACTTTCTCCAGGGAAATTGACACAGTACAGTCATATCTACATTAATGTAAATAGAGGGTCTATGGTAGTCACACTAGACCCTGCCCATGGCTTTTCCAAAGGTAGAATTTTACTGTCAGTTAACAGACCAGAGTATGAGACCTCCTATTCAGGACTCCAGGTCAAAATCATGCACAATCATCCATTTTCTTTGGTTTTATTTCCTTCCCCTCGTTTATGCACATACTAGAATGTGAATGAAAACAAAGTGCATGAATTACCAGTTGCATATAAAGGCACTGAATGCGTTAAGAATCCACCAGCAGCAACTACCCAACGAGTGTGAAGTCGGAGAACAAGAAGCCGAGCACTATCTGGAGTGTCAAAATTTGACCCGTTTGCATTCTTTACTGGTGCAAACTCTTCTTCACGCAATACCTGAATATTTGGCAAACAAATGCAACCCTTAGCACCACAAAGTCAAGAAAGGAAAGCATTGGTGTTAGTGTAAAAAAAGAGGGGAGGGGGGAAAATGAAGTCACCTCAAAAAGTGCAGTTGAAGGTGCATATGGAAACGCATCAAATATGAACTGCTCTAGTTTTAATCCCATTGTCTGTCCATGGATAGAAGGAATTTTCTTCTCAGCAAGATGGTAACTGCATTCACAACGGCATGTTTGAAACAATATCATTAGAATAACTATGGATGAGAAACTCCAAATGCAAGGTGCTGATGATGTATAAACTAACTAACAAAAAGTAAAACTTAACATCTGAATTTTACTTTGTAACGACACCATGTGGTATGTACTTAGACAAAAGCTAGCTCAAGTTGAAGGAGAGAAAGTAGATATTTAGAAGCTAGCTCAGGTCCTCTCCTTGCATAATTTAGAGAGGTCCACGGAAATATATAGTTAAATATTAATTGTTTATTTTTTCTTTAACATTTGAAACTAGCACTCAGAGCTCGCTTTTTATAGAAACAATTCCAAACCCCCCATTTTTTCCTAGAAACAATTACCCTCGCCCCTTTGTTCTTGACAAAGAAAATACAAAATAACCCCTCCTGTATCTCTTGCATATCCATCATGTATCCATGTAGTCAACTAGATACGAATTCAGAGTATCTGATGTGTTTTGAGACATACTGTGAATCAAGAAAGAGAACCAAAAACAAAAAACAGAGAGAGAGAGAGAGAGAGAGAGAGAGAGAGAGAGAGAGAGAGAGAGAGAGAGAGAGAGAGAGAGAGAGAGAGAGAGAGAGAGAGAGAGAGAGAGAGAGAGAGAGAGAGAGAGAGAGAGAGAGAGAGAGAGAGAGAGAGAGAGAGAGAGAGAGAGAGAGAGAGAGAGAGAGAGAGAGAGAGAGAGAGAGAGAGAGAGAGAGAGAGAGAGAGAGAGAGAGAGAGAGAGAGAGAGAGAGAGAGAGAGAGAGAGAGAGAGAGAGAGAGAGAGAGAGAGAGAGAGAGAGAGAGAGAGAGAGAGAGAGAGAGAGAGAGAGAGAGAGAGAGAGAGAGAGAGAGAGAGAGAGAGAGAGAGAGAGAGAGAGAGAGAGAGAGAGAGAGAGAGAGAGAGAGAGAGAGAGAGAGAGAGAGAGAGAGAGAGAGAGAGAGAGAGAGAGAGAGAGAGAGAGAGAGAGAGAGAGAGAGAGAGAGAGAGAGAGAGAGAGAGAGAGAGAGAGAGAGAGAGAGAGAGAGAGAGAGAGAGAGAGAGAGAGAGAGAGAGAGAGAGAGAGAGAGAGAGAGACTAACATGCTGTCCTTCTCAAGGCCATTTGCCACTTGGTTTAGAAAGTCCAGAGTAAACATGTGCAAGCACACCTGGAAAACACAACGTGTCAAGAGTTACTGAAGCATAATTTAAAAAGAACCAAATGTCATAATTGAAATATTAACCTAAAAGGACATGACAACTGAAAGTACAATAACAACGGAATCTAGCTTCAACCTATCCATGTCAATGTTTGGGGAAAAGAAAAATACAATAAATAAATAAAAAGTGACAGGTTAGAAGTTGTAGACATTACATTACTCCAACAAAAACGAAGACGTCCAGTTTCTTGGTTGATTGCAGAAGCCAGAGATGAATCCATCTCACTGTATTCTACCACAGTAAGAGGTCCACCTTTTCCTCGACGAACAAACACGCCAACCTTTTCTTGTGGGTATGCCTGTAACCCAAAAGCCAAGTAACTCGAAATGTAAGAGCAAATGCTTGTGTGTGTACAGTGTGTGTGTCAGAGAAAGAAAGAGAGAGTAAGCGAGTTAAATTCTTAAGAGGGAACCTTTGGATTCAAATGGATTATATAAAGCAATGAAAGATATATGTCAATCCAAATCAGTTACTTTCTCAAGTTTAAAATTTAATGAGACAATGGATGGAAATAATTGAGGGTCTAATAGGTTTTCATGCGTGCGCATTAGTTACCTTACGAACAACTTTTGCAGCAGCCGAAACACCTTTGTCAATGAAATAACCCAAGAAAGTTGGATCAGCTACACGAACCTGCTTTCAAGAACCTAATCACTATGCCTCTAAAATAAGAAAAATTTCCAAAACTTCAATAAACAAAAGAATAATTTAACACTCCAGTTGAATTAAAATTTCAAATTCTAAAAGTAAAAGGAAAAGCAGAGGAAATTGTATCTCTCCAATATGTAAGTTTGGTTCCTTCTACCGAACTTTCCACCATGCATCACCTATTTTCAGTTGATATTTTTGGTGGGCCTGAGAGGACAATGAAAATGACTATTTTCTTCCTCGACCAACTCAATATTGGAAGAAAAGGAATCTTGGTTCTCCCCTTCTTTTTTCCCTTCTGGCAAACCATACACACTATTCAGAGAGAAAGAAATCTCACCAGTGCATTGTCAACTCCATAGCAATCCACATACTTAATTCCTCTCGTAGCCATATCTTCTAATAATCTTGAAGATTTTAAAGCTGATAAAAAAGAATATATGAGTCCACTAATGAATATTTTCTCAATAGTTAAGGAAAATTGATGAAATTAAGCTAGGCAGTAGTAATAGACATGTTGAGCCAAATATTATAGAAACATACCTGAATATACTCCTCCATTACCATCCGGAGCCTTAGCTACCTGGCTTAAAAAAATAAACTAACGTTAATCAAAGTCATTTCTAATGGGTGGCAGTAAACTACTATCTTTATAGAATAATGAATATAGAGTAATATAAGAAACATTAGTTACCCTTAATAACAAATTTTCAGAATTCAATGTTTGAATATATATAGATCCCATGTTTCACTGCCTCAGTCCTTTTACAATTGCCATTTTCCTTTTCTTAATGTTTTTTTAAAGGAAAGTAGAGTTCTGTATTCAGACTCATATACACTTTAGCCCATGACCTAAGTAATTTCACAAATCAAAATTGGCATTTTTAAATAATACAACCCTTCAAGCTCTGCGTACTTATCCTTAACTTGTAAAACAACAAACTATCCTTTGGCTATAGCTCTACGGCAAGTAAGAGATTATGCAAAGCCTTAAAAAGGGGTTTAAACAAAAAGAGTTTTCTTAATAAGATCAAGTACAAATAGAAACCATACTCCGTATGGAGTTTCCATAATAAATCTACCATCCTTAGAGACACAAGGTATGGTGCCTTGCTGAAAGAAGGTGACCTGCATCAAGGACATGCGAAGTAAGCAAAATCATCCCAGAACTAAAGCACTATTCACAAAGTTTAAGAAAAAATAATCTGAAAACTTCTTACCTGGTCAGCTTCAAGACCAAAGAATTTATGACTTTCAAAAAATTTTCGTGTGGCTTCATCA